TGATATGTTTCATTCGACAAGACGGGTAAAATCACTGATAGGGACCGATTATGAAATTTGGTTCTTTTCTTGCTTACGACCGCATCCCAGCGAAGTTTGCGATTCAGTGAAGGATCACGGCTTCTCTCTGCTTTGATATCATTCATGCCAAAACTTATCCGACCGCTAACAATCTCGCATTCTCATTTAATGATGTATAGAGGAAAGGAGCTGCATTCATAAAGACATTTGATAATGGTATTATTATGACTCGACAACATTTGAGAGTACCATTCAAGGCACTTAAATCTTCAATGGGTCATTATTTTTAACATAAACAGCGACAGATCAAGACATACAGATTCTAATCAAAGGCATAGGAATCGGCACATTTTGAATATCGTTTGCATGCCCTATTGTTCCTCTATCGAGCATCATGTTCCGAAAAGCATCATTCAGTGTTTTCAGCGAAGGAGTGTGCTGTTTGCCGTTCATCACAACTCGATTATAAAAAGGAGGGGGGTCCGGCATAGGCCGGGCGTCCGACTGTCCATATATAGACCGGTAATTTTGTGTGTTTGTTTGTATGCCCGTTTGTGCGTCCTTCCTCACGTAGGCACAACGAAGAGTGCGAATGTCAAGTGAGCATGGTGGGGAAACAGTTATCAAATGGGAAGTGAACCGATACTGTTCATATTGGTCCTCTAACAAGTCGTAGGTAAGCGGTAGTGGGCATGTGGTGCGTGCATTAGCGTGCGTAGCCCAACTGGTATTAAATAAACAAATGGCAAGTTGATGGAAGAGGGACGAATCAGTGAACATTTGTGTCACCGAAAAAATATTGGTCACAATGAGAACTATTCAGAGAGTACTCGAGTAGAGCAACCTGAGGGAAACACTGTCGATAAAGGGGAACATTGGTTGCCTGCCCTGTTCTTCGCTTCTGGACCGGGATACAGAAATGGTTTCAAGGATCACAGCAGTGCTGACACAGGTTCGTTTCAGTGGTACTGTAGCACCAAAGCCACTAATGGTTTTAATAGGGCTGAATTGAACATAGTTAACAATGTTACCGATGTGTTGTTTCAAGAACGACCATTCTACCGACATCCAACAGCAGTGCCATCGCAACACGGGTACCATGGAGGAGAGGACGTTGGAGTTTGGGCTGATGGACCATTTTCAGAGCAAGTATTTTCGGTTTTATTCAGTCTTATTTCAATTAGGACACTTTTGGAAAGCGACCCACATAGGGTTGGCATGTGGTTTCCATTAGTTTGATAGGCCAACAAAAACTGATGAGGTTTAGATTGTTCTCAAGTTCATTGGAGAACACGGAAATCGCGTACATCATTAAATTCCTACTATGCGCCACCACTACCGACTACTCGATTTGCGATATCAGTACGAGCTCTGGAGTCGCGTCGAGAAGTGCGGAACATCTAGATGTTTTTGAGAAAAGTAGGTTGTTTTTGTAGCGGAAGATGAGCTACTTGCATAGTTTCAAAATCAATAGTCATGTAATTTTCCACACCCCTAGACCTCCTAAAATAGATGAAAGCGCTGAACGCTGCTGCTGCTCTCCTAATCCAGAACAAGTCAGCTCATGCATACAGATTTCATCTTTGCGATTCGTGCTCATCCTAGAAAAAATGCCAAGAAGAAGTTTCTAAGACGGAGGTCATTTGACTCTTCCAGCAGTTTTCTCGCAGTGACTCCCCTTCTCCACCTCTGCTCTGCG